CTGTTGTTAAAATCTCATATGCGATGACCATTGTTAAATGTTGTTGCAAAACAAAGTAAAATGGAATCAATCCCAGAGCGGCTGTTCTTTTTATAAAATATGAAATACCTCAGATATACAGAAATTAGTATTTATTCATCCAATAAATATTTGCTGGGCACCTATGGTATGCCAAGCACTGCTCTGGGCTCAGGTGTACAGGAATTGGACAAAATAGTGCAAGTCCTTGTCCACAAGAAGCTACATTTAGTGGGCAAAGATAGATGGTTAACAAATAAATGTAAAACAGGTTTGCTAGTGTTGAATACTACGAACTAAAAATGAAGCAAAGTAAGGGAGATGGAGAAGATGGGGAGTGTTGCTTTACATGGATAATTAGGAAGGCCTCCCTGGAAAACGACATTTGATCAGGGCCCAGAAGAGAGTAAGAGAGTGAGCCACTCATTCATTCATCCATTCATTCAACAAATGTTTCGTGAACACGTTCTAGACCCTAAGGGCACAGCAGAGAATGAAGGAGACATTCCTTTCTAGGCCACCTGTCCTCTCCTTCCCCAGAGACACCTTCTCTGTTCTACGCAATGGCTTGAGGTCTGAATAGCTCAGGAAGGGAAAGAAGAGGAAGACCTACCCTAAACATTTTAATGACAACTTAAAATACCTAAAATTAACCAGTCTCTACCTTCCTCCCAAATACGAGGACTTTTTCTACTCACCACTTCCATCTTAATTTAAATGTTTACCAACTTTTTTAGTCCATGTTGTTTTTACTTTCCTCAAAGTAATCATTGTTATTAAAAATGGTTTTGAGTAGTCATAATTTGTCTAAGTTAATCCGTATGTTTTCTAAATGTTTACTATTTTTCTTCTTGCATCTCACCATAGTGAGAACCTGAACCTTCTAGGTTAAGTTTTCTTCTTAGGAACGTGCTTTGCATTTTCCTTGGCAAGGGTCCATAGTGGCTGACTCCCTGTTCTTGTGCGTCATCTGAAGATGTCTTCAATTTGCTCTCCTTTTTAAAGAATAACAGCTTAATTCAGATATAATTGACATCCCAGGATTCACCCTCTTCAAGTGTACGATTCAGTGGTTTAGAGTATACTTACAGAGTTTTGTAACGATCACCATTGTCTAATTTTAGAACATTTTCATCATCTCGAAAGGAAACCCTATACCCATTAGCTGTCACCTCCTACTCACCCCTCTCTCCCTCCAGCCCCTGGCAACTACTAACCTACTTTCTGTCTCTAGAGATGTGCCTATTCAGAACTGTTCATACAAATGGAATCGTACAATATGTGTACTTTTCTCTCTGACTTCTTTCACTAGACATACTGTTTTCAAGGTTCATCCATATTGTAGCATGTATCATTATTAGCATTTCACTTTTTATGACTACATAATATTTTGTTGTACCACATTTGTTTATCCACCATCAGCTGCTGTACAGTTGAGCTGTTTCCCCCTTTCTTGGCATTTTGAATAAAGCTGCTATGAACACTTGTGTACAAGTTTTTGTGTAAACATATGCCTTCAATTCTCTTGGGTATATACTTATGAGTGGAATTGCTGGGTCATATGGTAACTCTATGTTTAATGTTTTGAGTAACTGTAAAACTGTTTTTCACAGCAGCGGCACCATTTCACACTCCTAACAGCAACATATGAGGGTTCAGTTTTCTCCACTGAGCACAAGCTTGCAAACCAAAGGGTCTCAGGTTCAATTCCTAGTCAGGGCACATGCCTGGGTTGCAGGCCAGGTCCCCAGTAGGGGGTCCATGAGAGGCAACCACACAATGATGTTTCTCTCCCTCCCTTTCTCCCTCCCTCCCCTCTCTCTAAAAATAAATAAACTCTTTTAAAAACAATTCCAGATCCCCAAGGAAAGCACTGTCATCCTAGTTATGTTCTTATTTTATATTTTTCTACCACCCAGTCTTCTCTCTTCCTCCATTTCTGAGCTCCCAAGCATTACAGTACACAGTCTGCCTTAGGAACTAATTAGACTAATCGCCACCATTTCTCCCCTTAGGCTATATAGTAAGTACTTTACATCTGTTGTTTAATCTAATCTTGATAACAATCTTAGGTAAGAACTATTATTAGTCCAATTTTATAAATAAAAAATCAAGGCAAGCAGAGCTCAAGGACAATTGCTAGCAAATTGCAGAGCAGGATTCAAACTCAAGGCCGACTCATTTCTAACCACCGTCCTACAGTGCCTTGGGTTGCTAGTTCTCTTTTTAGGTCTTATTTACCCAACCTGGTGGTAAGGTTCTTTAGGGCAAGAACCTGCCTTTATATGTTTCAGTAAAACAATAGCTACTGTTTATTGAGCATCTGCTCTGTACCCTGTACTTTGTATGTATCATTTCTAATCCTCACAACAACTCTTTTTTTTTTTGAAAGATTTTATTTATTTATTTTTAGAGAGGGAAGGGGGGAGATAGAGAGAGAGACAGAGAAACGTCAATGTGCGGTTGCTGGGGGTTATAGCCTGCAACCCAGGCATGTACCCTGGCTGGGAATCGAACCTGGGACACTTTGGTTCCCAGCCCGCGCTCAACCCACTGAGCTACGCCAGCCAGGACAACAGCTCTTTTATATATTATTTTCACCATTTTACAGATTAGGAAATTTAGACTCCAAGGGATTCATTGATTTAGCCAAGGTGGAGCCAAGACAAGAATCTGAAGTAGGTAAACCTAGTAACCTACCCAGAGATGATAGTCAATAATATTTGCAGTTAGTAGATGGGAAAGCACAGGGCTATGATCTCCCAAACCCTGGTTGTCTCCATCTGGCATGACCCTTAGACAATGACAGTGAACGTGGGGGCCAGGTAACTGTTGCAGAGAGGTGTCCATCTCTTCCTTTGAGCTATGTGAAGGTAAAAACTTAGAGTTCAGTCCCAGCCTGTGTAGCTCTGCCAATTGGGCTGCGTCCCGCAAACCTAAAGATGGCGGATTGGATTCCTCCATCAGGGAACATGCCTGATTTGCGGTTAGGCCCTGGGTCAGGTCGCTTGTGGAAGGCAGTCTATCAGTGTTTCTCTCCCTCTCTTTCTCCCTTCCTTTCCCTCACTCTCTAAAAAAAAAAAAAAAAAAAAAAGTTAGAGCTCACAATCAGTAGAGCCCAAAGGGTTACTGCGGAATTCCTGTGCTCACTCACTGAACATAGGCTATTTTGAGCAAAGTTGCTCGTTGGGGGTTTTATAGATGATGCAGATAATAACATTTTGGAATGTTTTCTATGTGTCAGGAACTGTTCTCAGTGCTTTATGAAGATTAACTCATTTAATTTCCAGGTAAGGACAGTTATTATCCCATATAACAGTTGAGGAAACCGAAGTACAGAAAGGTTAAAGGATTTCCCCTGACTGGTGTGGCTCAGTTGGTTGGCGGACAGTCCCATAAACCAAAAGGTTGCGGGTCAGTTCCCTGTCAGGGCACATGCCTGGCTTGTGGGCCTGGCCACAGGTTGGGGGCATACAGGAGGCAACAGGCCAATGCTTCACTCCCTCTTTTTCCCCTTCCCTTCCCCCCTCCCAAAATAATAATAAAATCTCAATTTAAAAGAAAAGAGAAGAAAAAGAAGGTTAAAGGATTCTAGCAAGTGGTAGCATTTAGGACACCTGGAATGATTTCAGAGCTTGAGCCTCTCCTAATAACAGTGTGAAAGAGTAACTGAGTGGACCACAGAAACAGATGAAATTCTAGGGTAATGAAGAACCAAACATTCCTGCGGGCTGAGTAGAACAATTAATTTCAAAGTGTCTGTCTGCCTGCCTGCCTGCCAACCAACACGTTTCCCACCCTAACTTTCTCCTTTCCCGGTCTCCCCACCCTCTCTGACACAAGACAGAGAGCACGGAATGCAGGGGAAAGGTCGCAGTGGGGATTTGGCTCCTCCCTTCCTGCCCATTCAGTCCCTTTTCTGCGGAGCCCACAGAGAGCGGGGATATCCCGGGTTCTCGCGCATGCAGCCGGGCACGTGAAACAGCCAGTCCTAGAGCTCAGTGGACCTGCCAAGAGTCGCCTTGTCCCCGAGCTTTGGCCCTCCCCCATCCTGTTCTCCAGGAGGGAGGCAGTGCAACCACCGTCAGCCTTGCCTTCGCGGTGGCTTGGATGTTCCTTCCCACGGGCACCCCACTCCCAGCGTCTCCCCAGGACTTTACTTTCCAAGACCCACCATTAGGTGCTCTCACGTCTATAATTTGGGCGTTGGGAGGGGAGTGCTTAGTAAGGCTTCCCAGCCCCCAAATCTGGGCATAAATCTGTACTAGGAGATCCTAGCTCTTTGGTTCAATCTGAAGGCATCAAAAATCTCCAATGGCTACATTTTAGATTAAGAAGCAGGCCCAATGAGTGCAAAGTAACACTCCTCTGCAGTTAGACGTGGACACCAGGGCCAGGCAGTATTTCACATTTCCTTAAACAACATGACAAACTCTCATAGAAATCTGAATGTGTTACGTTAATCCTCAGGATTTGGAATGAAGGGTGGGAGGGGGTGGCATCTGTAATCTTGTTATCCATAAGGAAGGGAAACTCCTGGAAAGTCGGCTCTTCAGTCCCTTTAATGGAGAAAACGGGGGGTTGCAGTGAGGTGCGGGTCTGATGCCCTCCGCCTCTTTGTTGAAATGTCTGGTGAAGAACTATCCTCCTCCGGGAGCCGCACTTCATCGCACCCCAGCTGAGAGCCCTTGCACTGGGGCACTGCCGGTGTGTTTCCACCGCTTTAGTACGCGGGGGTGGGGCGGGGACGAACTTTCTGATTGCTTCCAAAGCTTCACTTAGCAGAAAAAGCGATGGAAGTTGACACACACGCCTAGTCACTCCCGACCTCACTGTCTCGGACACACAGAGCGGTCAAAACTGTTGTGACCGCGAGCCTGCGGGACTGCCCCAGGCCACTTCCCGCCCCCGGGGGGCGGGGCCACGTGCACGCGGACGTGCGGCAGGGCGCGTGCGTGCGTGCGTGCGTGCGTCCCCGAGTGCGCGTGTGCGGACTCAGGGGCTGGGCCGCGGCTATAAGTGGGCGGTGCGGGCGGTTCGGCTGAACCTCCTGCGTCGGAGTACGCTTCTGTCTTGCAGCGACGGTCTGGGTTGTGACCTCGTGCTCTCATCGGCGTTGGCGGACTCTCCTCCCGACTCCTGGACGACCTGCAGTTTCTGCGAGCGGGCTACTCCCGGCCCTTCCGCCTGGAGGTGAGCGGCCCTCTGGGCAGCCCCGGCTCCCCACCCCCATCCTCCGGCCTTCCTGCGGGGTCCGTCGCCTCCTTCCCCTGACTGTGGCTGAGCCTCTTGGAGCTTCCCTCCTCTTTCTGCCTCCACCCAGTTCCCCACTCAGCCGCCCCAGCCCTGCTTTCTTCGGGAGTGGCCCTAACTGGGATCCACGTGGCGCACTCCCTGCTCCAGTGCTGAGTTAGGCGTCCGGGCCATGCCCTTCCAGAGGACTCCTAGCATCTCCTTCCTGTTACTGCATTTGGAATGTTGTCTGTGTAGTAGCTGCCTGTGTTCTTACCTGTTGCCCCTAGACTGGAAGCTGCAAGAGGACATGGTTCATGTCCCCAGGACCCCATTTTGTCCTAGAACGTTGTAGGATGCTTAACACCTGTGGGATTCAGGGTTCGACTCTCTTAGTATTATTTTGACCTTCAGAAAGTTTATGATTAACTTGAACCTGAATGAGATGTGAGGGAGGCTTCCAAGGCAGATTGCTTTCTCAAGGGCATGTTCTTACAGCCCCGTTCCGTGGTACAAAAGGACTCGGTCTTTAATAAAGGAAGGTTTCTGATCCTTGGACTGTGGCACAGGGATTGTGCATTGCACCTGGCAGAAGCAAAGGTTTTTACTTTAAAAAGAAGTAAAAGTTTTAAGGCGTGCTCATGAAAAGAAACAAAACTGGCTCCTCAGCCATGGAGTTTACAGTGTAAACATACTTGAGCTTCTGCTGTGGAAAGACATCCATAGGCCCCTGTACCGCTGGCTGGCTGGGCCTCTCCCTTAGGTCCATGGGAAGATAGAAGGGTCAGGGCCAGATGCCTGCACTTCCTGAAAGGCTCTAGACTAACCTTGCCTCTCTTTCCTCAGCATCCAGAGGCCTTCCAGAAGCAGAAGACAGCTCTGCTGCTCTACACAGGAGTGGGATCCTTTCAGCTATGAAGCATATGTTGAACCTGTATTTTGTAGGGGTGGTGCTGACCCTCCTTTCCATCTTCGTGAGACTGATGGAGTCACTGGAGGGCTTACTGGACATCCCATCGCCCAGGAGCTCCTGGACCACCAGAGGTCAACTAGCCAGCGCAGAACCCCCAAGGGCTTTCCAGAACATCCACCCAGAGAGGTGTGATAAGACCTCCCTCCACCGGCTGTAACCTTGGAACATTGACCTAAATCTGTTCATCCAGGTGTCCAGTTCCCAGCAGGCAAGCTCAGCATCAATGTTACCAGAGAACTGTTACTAGGCTCTTGAAGGGCCCCTCCATCTGAACGCTTGCCTTGGAAAAAGAGCCTGTTTAGTAGTGTGGGCAGCTTGCCTGTGGCTGTGGGATGGGGTGATTTTGCTCTTCTTCCCAGAGTCTGCCACACTCCTTGTTGTCCTTGGCAGTGTGGCTCTGACCTCTCTTAGATGAGGGCTTGTGCTCCAGCTTCAGCTGTCGGCAGATGATGGTGTTTTCAGCCCTACTTCCTAAACTTCTGCCAAGAGTTCCTTTGGACTTGGGTGGCTTATGATCAATTTCTTGGTGTTTGGCTTCTCTTTCACATGAGCGCCTCTGTGTGTGTGTGTGGAGGTTGAAGAGGTATGAGGTGTGTGCACTGGGTGTAGGGATGGGGAAGACAGAGTGTTCAGTGCCCAGTTCCCATTGTTTTACATTTTTAAGTCCTTCCTCCAATGCAGTGTGTCTGCATGTGTACTGGTCTGAAGGGGACAGTGGGGATTACAGCCACCATGTGGCTTAAGTGAAGTTTTCTAATGAAATAAAGTTGAATATATACTTCCAATATGTGTCATGTTGACTTCTGCCCTTGAAATTAGGGTTAGGGAGGAGCCCTTAATTCGTACATCTGAGGTTTATCATCTTAAAACTTGGCGTGCTTAAAACACTTTGTTTCAAACAGGGTAAAGGGCCCTGGCTGGTGTGTCTCAGCGAATTGAGCGCCAGTGTTTCTCTCACACATACTTCTCTCTCTCTTTCTCCCTCCTTCCCCCTCTCTCTAAAAATAAATAAATGAAACCTTTTAAAAAGCAAAACAAGGTAAAGGAACCTCTGAGTTTGGAGGCAGGGGCAGACTGCTCTGTCTGAATCCACAGTTGGGGAGTTTGGCCAAGATCTTTACAGTCTTTTGTTGACTCTGTCCATCTCTAAAGAAAAGAAAAATAATCGCTTCTTCCAGTTCCTTCATCTTCAGCCTCCGGGGAAAACAAAGCTATCCAGTCCACGAGGCCTTGGCTTTTTTTCAGTTTCTTAAAAACTAATTTTAGGGAGAGGATGGGAGCCGGAGAGAAGCACTGATGTGTTCCAGTTACGCCTTCATTGGTGGGTCCTTGTACGTTCCCAGACCGGGGATCAAACCCTCAAACCTGGTGAGTGGGGGCGATGCTGTAACCAACAGGGCAACCAGAGGCTGGCCTTGGCTTTTTTATTTTGTGCTCATCCATCAGAATAACTGCCAATTCTGCTTGCTCTCCAGACAGGCTGGTAAAACGTCCATACTTCATGGATGACTGTTTCTGCTCTTTCCCAGGTCTGAGCAGCTTGGCATTTTTCTTGGCATCCGTCACTCTGTCCCCACCCCACGCTGAAGCGTGTTCGCTCTTCTGCCTGTGGCGACAGAGCCTTATCTCAGATTCACTGCAGGGTGGGTTCCCAATCACTGCAGTTAAAGCAAGTCACGTGAATTTATTGGTTTCCCACTGCACGTGAAAGTCACGTTTACATGATTCTGTAGTCTGTTAAGTACAATAGCATGTCTAAAAAAAAATGTACACCTTAATTTAAAAATACTTTATTGCTAAAAAAATGCTAACCATCATCTGTCTTTAGCGCAAGGGCGTCAAACTCATTTTCACTGGGGGTTACATCAGCCTCATGGTTGCCTTCAAAAGGCCGAATGTTATTTTAGGACTGTATAAATGTAACTACTCCTTAACTAGGGCAAGGAGCTTGGCACTGCCGCCAGGTAGAAACAAGGTGCTGGGCCGGGCTCGGCCCACAGGCCTCGTGTTTGCCACCTGTGCTATAAGTTGATGTCTGTTTGCCTAGCCAGGCACGGTTTCTGGGATACAGGATTTGTGCAGAAACTGGGACACTTCTGAGCAAACCAGGACAGTCACCCTGCCTACAAAGCTGTGCTTGCATTGTGTTTGTCATTCCAGACGTTTCTCAGTGTTATCACTTGGGGAGGAGAAGCAGCTGTTGCTGTGAGCCCTGCCAGCTCTCCAGATTTCTGGAGTCTCTGGATCCCTTGTGTCTGCTTGCAAGCTAGCCGGTTTTCCTCTTAGCTCGTTTTGTGGTGCTTCATTGATAGCTGCCAACAGTGTTCAAGCTGCTAAAACTCTGTTCTCTGACTCTCCTAGCTTTTGGATACATTGGATTCAGGTATGTCTCGTAAGTTACTGCAGGCTACGGTTCTACCAGATATTCTGCTGCTGTTTAGCATGTGCTGCCATCCTTCCAGCCTCCAATGAGATCTCTTTGCCACCTTCCAAATAAGTGAATGTCACACATGCGAGGGTTTTTCTGGTGTTTGTTCTTTAAATATGCAACACTGCCCCCTAGATTCCAATCTCTTATCAGTCTAGAAGACACTAGGTTAGGTTATGCTGCAGCAACAAGCTAACATCTCAGTAGCTTGAAACAATTGGCCGAGAATGAGTTCCCAGGATGCAGAGTGGGGGCCTAATCAAGGGAATCCCTTTCACTTTCATCACATCTGCTCAGTAGAACATCATAATCACTGGGCTGCTGTGTCTCCGATTCTTCCCCTTTTCCCCTCACTGTGTTGATCCTGTCCGTATGGCCCCATTACATAATAGATGTGTGGGGGTACATGGCTTGTCTCTTTTAGTCTGTAGGTCTCCATCTCAAGCCACATCTGAAACTGGTCTAGGGACGATTGTGCAGCACTCAGATTCTTGAGTCGAACGATGCTGTGGCTGAATGGAATTCCTGGGTGGTCTCCCTTGGGGCATGCATGGTGAATGTATTCCGCCTGCAGGAGGGATAGTGAGCTGAATGGTTATTGACTAGTTAGGTCATTAGTGGTAGTCATTAGTGTTCTCCAAATGTTTCTGCCCTTGCCTCCCGGGCACATGACAGAATTGCACTTCCTGATCCCTTTGTGGTTAGATGGGGCCAGGAATTATTTGTGGCCAATGAGTGTAAATAGACGTGACTCATGTCAATTTTAGGTTGAAGCATGTAAGCACTGGTTCAAAAACCTTCAAAGATTTTTTCCTCCCACTGCAGCAACCAGTGGTGCTCCAGGTGGAACTGTTCCATTCGTGTAGGTACTGGAGCAGGCATGCGTGAGGCAGGGCCCTCGCCTGATCTCTGGTGACCATGCGGTGTAAGTGAGAAATCAGCCTTTGCTGTTAAGCTACTTAGGTTTGGGGTTTTTTGTTACTGCAGTGTAACTTGGCCCATCCTGATTGATATACTGCTTATAGTACCTACTGGTACCGGGCACTGACTAAGACCTCATCACCACCTCTCTCAGATGGCAAACGTAAGAAAATAGGGGGAGAAGCATGTAAACAAGGTAATAACATTTTGTGGTTCCGTGATAGAATATGTGTATAGGACAGTGCCGGCAGAAGGTGGAAGTTGAGGGAAAACATCTCTGAGGATCTGAACTTTTAAAAATGAATAGATGGTCAAACTAGGGGAGAGTTTGCCAGTGGAGCGTTAAGGGAGCAAGGGCATGGGGGTGAGCCTACGCACAGCACGCTTAGAAAATGGCAAGTACGAATTTTAAATTTCTGTTGACTGTTAACCTGAGGCCTTAACTCCGGAGCCACCGTGTCACTTGACTACAGAGGAAACAGAAGGAGGCTCAGTGGTGTGGATGACGTCAATGAACTAATGGGTCAAGTCCGAGGACGCAGCCCTTTTTTTCAACATCATGTTTTTCCTTTTCCATGGATTCTTCAGAATGCAATGTAACAAAATATATCCATAATGAACTTTCTCACCCCCAAGGTAGTTTTTATGTAGGCACAAGTCACAGGGACAGAGCAAGTCTGTGAGAGGCTTCCCTGGGAGGGGGAGGGATGAAGGCCGGGTTCCCGAGAGCCTCCCTTGCTGTCCTGGCGTCCCCTTGGGAGAGACGTTTTCCTCGTGTTTGTGGGGAGATGGAATGAAAAGTGGAATAGGCTTCATTACTGCCAGTTCGTAATGAGCAAGAAAAGGGAGAGAAAAGCCTTGCTCCCCCCTGATTCTTCCTTTCCTCTTTTTTTCCTTTCCTGTTGCTGCCCTCACATTCCTGATGTCATTCCTGCCATTGTGAGCCCGCGGGCAGGCCCCCCTGGCCTGGAGGGCAGCCTGTAAAGCAGGAGGGGAGTGGGGGAGCTGTGGAGGAAAGGGGAGGGGGGCAGCAGTCCATCGGCACCTTGGAGCGGGTCTGGGTCTGCCCGGAGCCCCAGGGATGTTCCCCAGCCCATTCTTCCCAAGATCCAATGAGTAAAATCAGGGGCCTCCCTCCCGAGGTCAGGGTCCCAGGCCCTGGAGTGGAACTTGGGGTGGAAGATGGCCCTCTTTGTCAACTGATTCATTCTCCAGAATTCAACTTGTTTCCCAACTCAACAGTGTTCGAAAGCAACTTTATCCAGGTACCCTTTCTTTCCCTTTCTAAAACCTGTTCCCAGGGGTTGGTCCAAAAATGCTGTGGCCTTTTAAAGCCCCAGGGAGGCGAAAGAAGCCATTCTGGCTAGTGAAACCAGAGGATCTCAGTCTCAAGTTGGCCTGTTTATGCCTAGAGCATTATGGGGTTTTCCTCACTCTCCTCCCTTCCTGGAACTGTCTTCACATAATCTCCCTTCCAGACCATTAAAAACCCATGCTGGCTGCTTCTACCCAAAGATGGAAGAATAAAGTTTGTTCTTACCAGGGCATCCCCTTAAAGTTAGATGATGCAAAAACAAACAAGAATAATAATCAAGTTAGATGATGCAGAAAATGCAAAGAAGGGCAACATGGCGTTGCTGGTGCCAATGAGCTTGTTGGTTTGGGGAGAACCGCACGCAGGGCGATGCAGGCCACGGCCCGGCCCAGCCCAATGGGCTGACGCAGGGAGGAGCAGGGGTGCTCCCAGCTCTCACCAGGCTGTAGTTGCTCTTTGGCACCTGTGTCCCAACCCCCCCACCCCTCCTGTCTTCTGCTTCTCTGACCCGAGCACCCGGGGCTGATTTCTAGGTCACTAAGCCCGGGAACTGGATGAATGTCTATGAAGGGTCAACCACCATGATCCTTGGGGTAACCTCCACCGTGCCCTCCTTGCCACTCCCCAACATCCTCCTGATGGCCAATGTCACCTGGCCCCAGGGTCACCTTTCCACCTGGAGCACACCTGACCGCGCTCCGGTCATCACCCTCAGCAGGTAAAGAAAGGCCTCGGGGAGGGGCCGGACGGGCGGGATGGCAGACTGCGTTGTTCTGCTGCTGGGCTTTGGATGGAGAGAAAGGACAGCATTCCTTGTGTACAAGCCACGCAGAACCTCATTCATTCATTTAACAAGTATTTAGTATCTGTGTATGCTGAGCACTGTGCTTAGTGCCGTGGGTGGAGTATCAGTCTGTCTCAGCCTAGTTGCTGAGGACCTCGGGTCTTTTTATCTAGTCAGTATAGACCTGGGGGTGGGGATAAAAAAAGGTGTGGTGTATGAAAGTCAATGGGATTATTAGGTGTTGAGACTGCAAAAAATGCTGGATGTACCCTCTTACTCTTTGAACAGAGTTAATCAGGTTACAGGGTGGAGAGGATCTGGAAATGGAGTGGAAAACCTTAGTTCCAGTTCCCACTTAGATCTGAATTTGGGCAAATCCCTTAGCTTCTCTGAGTGTCAGTTTCAAAGTCTGTAAAATGCCCTGGCAGGTGTGGCTCAGTGGATTGAGTGCTGTTCTGAGAAGCAAAGGGTCATTAGTTCGATTCCCAGTCAGGGCATGTGCCTGGGTTGCAGGCCAGGTCCCTAAGAGGGGGCACATGAGAGGCAACCACACATTGGTGTTTTTTCCCTCTCTTTCTCTCTCCCTTCCCCCTCTCTAAAAATAAATAAATAAAATCTTTTTTAAAAACCCCAATCCTATAAATATGGAATGAATAATACTTATCTTTCCTTCACTGAATGGGTGTTGTGAGGATTACAAGAGATACTCTACACCAGTTACCAGCATTTGTCATTGAGGTGGGCAGATTCTTTCATTACTAAGGCCCTGGAAAGGAGAAAAGGGTCGGTCTGTGGGACCCTCCCACTCGCAGACCACAAGCCCTCTCCATGTGCACCCCCAGGCAGAGGTGGAGGCCCAGGGAGGTCGAGCCACACTCTAGGTAGGCACCAGCGTGGTGGATTCAGATCCCGGGCTCGTTGGCTAGGGGGATTTCCTGATTGTGCCCAGGATCCTCCCCCTGAAGTTTGTGGAGCTACAAATCTGTGACCGGCTCCAGCGCATCCTGCGCCTTCGGACAGTGACTGAAAAGATCTACTACCTGAAGCTCCACGAGAAACACCCAGAGGCTGTGTTTCAGTTTTGGGTCCGCTTGGTGACAATTCTGCAGCAAGGTCTGTCCATCACCACCAAAGACCCGAGGATCCAGTTCACGCACTGCCTGGTGCCCAAGCTGTGCAGCAGCTCCACGGAAGCAACAGTAAGTGGGACCCTCCCGCCGAGGTCTCTGGGGGCGGGGATGGGGTTGGAGGCATGGCAACCCCCCCTCCCCCGCTGCTTGGGAGCGCTGCTGAGTATTAAAGTCCACTGCACTGGGGGGATGAGAAGACTTCATTTCAAAGGTCAGTGATACGTGATATGCACACACCAATGAAGGCAAATTAGCTTTTCTAAAGGAGGAGCTATGATGTACTTAACTCACTTAGAAGTGTTCTTTTCTTGTTTTTCAGTACCATGAAGGAATAATGCTCCATGAGGAAAATCAGAATATTACAGAAAAGTGGCCCCATTTTTCTTTAGCCTCAAGCCATCACTTGGAACATTTGGCATATTTCCTTCTAGTCTTTCATTGTAAATTAATGTTTACCTGACGTATTTGAGGACATTAAATACATACACATCTTTGAATATTGCTTTTTTCCATTTAGATCACATCATAAACAGTTTTTCCATTAAAAAAAATTTGCATTTTTCAGTGACAGTTGACATTCCATATCACATTAGCTTCAGGCGCACAGCACCGTGGTTGGGTGTTTATATAACTCGTGAAGTGCTCCCCAGTAAACCCAGGACACACCTGGCGCCGCTCACAGCTGTGATAACATCACTGACCGCGTCCCCGATGCTGTGCGTTACCTCCGCGTGACTCCCCTGCAACCATCGGTTTGTGCTGCGCGACACCTTCACCTTCTCACCCAGCCGCCTGAACCCCTTCCCCTCTGCCAACCATCAGCTTGTTCTCTGCACCTACGAGTTTGTTTCTTTAAAAATTTTTTTAAATGTATTTATTATTTTTATTATATTTCTTCCATTACCATTTACCCCCCTCTTACCCAAGTTCCCCCCGCCACAAACTCCACGCTGTTGTCCATGTCCATGAGTCCTTTTATCCTTTTTGTTGATTCCCTCCATCCCCATATGAGTTTATTTCTGTTTTATTTGTATTTTAGATTCCACATATAAATTAAATCATATGGTATTTGTCTTTCTCTGACTTATCTCACTGACCATAATTCCCTCTAGGTCCATCCATGTTGTAGCGAATGGTAAGATTGCATTCTTTTTTTATGGCCAAGTAGTATTCTAAAAAGTATCCAGCCAGGTAACATGAAAAATAGAGACATTTATTGAAGAAGATACAAGATATAAGAAACATTGTACATAGGACAAGGATGCCTCAGTTCCCTTCAAAGTTACGACCATCTTGAGGAAATCTGGTTCGTGGGTAGTGGTTTGAATCAAGGCATTAGCCACTGTTCCTTCTGCTCTGGGAGCAGAGCAGAAGGCATGAATTCTTGGCATGAATTTTGCCACAACACGTTTCATGCCAAGACCCTGAGTCCAAATCTTGGACACAGTAGTTTTTGTAATCCCCAGATCAGCTTCTAGTTCTCACCCTAGCAGTCACAGATCTTTGTTGATTGCAGCCCATACATGTTCACCATTCTCAGGTGCTCTGCTTGTTGCAGGCCTTCCAGAACATGGTTCACTTTCAGCAGATTCTTGACCATCTTTGAAGCATTTGTGCCACTTTTATTTGTGCTACACTCATTGTATCATCCCTGAAAGCTTTCTGAATCATCTGAATAGTTTCTATGAAGTAATGTTCAAGCTTAATGCAAAATTTGTTGAATATTCATTGCTCTACTCGCTTATTTTGAGTGTAATGGCCGCACAGTACACATGCTCCTTCAACAGTGTCTACCGCTCCCACTGACTAGTACAGTGAAGTCGTCATTGTTCACACATGCGCATTCCAGTCCACTCTCCTTGGCTGCCAGGTCACATCAATGTCTGGCAAACTGTTCTCCTTACATTAACAATGGCTGGACTTTTCCGAACAGACCTTGTACATGTACTGCATCTCCTTTATCCAGTCATCCATCTATGGACACTTAGCTTGCTTCCAGGTCTTGGCTCTTGCACATGAAATATCCTTCTTTGTCATTTGTTACAGTTTTTGTTTTAAACTCCATTTTGTCTGGTGTGCATGTTGCTACCACAGCTTTTTTGGTTCTCATGTTCATGAAATACCTTTTCCCACCTCTTTACTTCCGGTCTGTGTGTCTTGCGGTCTGAAGAGGGTCTCCTGTGGGCCGCGTGAGTGCTGGTCTTGCCTTCCTCTCCATTCAGCCACTTCACGTCTTCTGATGGGAGGGTTCACTTTAAACTAATTGTTGATAAGTATGTAGTTATTGCCATTGTTGCCATTTTATTATTTGTGTTTTTATCTCTTTTTCTGCTTAACGAAGCCCCTTTAGCATTTCTATACCAGTTTGGCGGTGATAAACGCCTTTAGCTTTTTATTGTTTGGGATCCGTTTCTTTTCAAAGGTCTTCATACACATCATTTTGATAATTTCATGCTCTTCAGTTGTATGAATGAATTAAAATTTACTTTATGTTCCTAAAATCAGATATCTACAGTTGTTTCTAACTTTTCATCATTGTATATGATGCTAAAACAAGCACTTGTAGGTAAAGTCCACACTTTTCTTTTGATTGTTTCTCAGAGTAGATTTTTGGAAGTAGAATTCAAGGGGTTATGAACATTTTTAAGGTTTTTAATATGTATTGCCAGATTATTTTTAGAAAGTCCATGCCAAATTATACTCTTGCCAATAATACGAATATCTGTATCACTGCATTCTTATCACAATTGAGAATTATAAATGCAAATATTTTTCTAATAACTATAGGTAAAAAGAAGTGGCATGTCTGATTTTCAGTGAGTTTCCACATTGTTACCTTTTTTTCTTTCTGCACTGGTTAGTTTGTTCTTTGGCCATTTTCCTTTTGGTATCCTTTCATTTTTCTAAATCAATTTGTAAAAGAAAGCTTTTTATACATCCAGAATTTTTAAGGGAATTATGGTATATTCATATATTAAAATATAAAATTATATTTGCACAGCATTTGCTATGATATGAAAATGTGTTTTCATTAAATGAAGAAGGTTGTTTTCAAAACACTATCTACATAAAATGTGATGTACTAGGGGTTTTTTTTTGTTTGTTTGTTTTTATTGCTTATTTTATCACAGTCATCCCATTTTTTTTTCCTTTTGCCCCCTCTACCCAGCCCACCCGTCTCTCCCACTCCAGTTGTCCATGTCCATGAGTCCATGTCCAATTCATACATGCTCTTTGACTAGCCCCCTCCCCTTCCTCCCACCATTCCCTGCTCCCTCCTTCCCTCCTACAGCTATCAGCCTGTTCCATGTTTCCATGTCTCTGGTTCTATTTTTCTCATTAGTATTTTTTGTTCATTAGCTTCCAGTTATAAATGAGGTCATATGGTATTTATCTTTTGTCAACTGGCTTATTTCACTTAGCATAATAGTCTCCAGTTCCATCCATGCTGTCACAAAAGGTAGGAATTGCTTCTTTCTGCTGCAAAGTATTCCACTGCATAAATGTATCATAGTTTTTTAATCCACTCATCTACTCATGGGCACTTGGGCTGTTTCCAACACTTGTTTATTGTAATAACATTGCTATGAACATAGGGGTGCATAAGTTTTTTTAAATTGGTGTTTCAGGATTCTTAGGGTATATTTCTAGCAGTGGAATCACTGGATCATAAGGCAGTTCCACTTCTACTTTTTTTGGAAATTCCATACTGCACCAGTCTGCATTCCCACCAACAGTTCACTAGGGTTCCCTTTTCTCCACATCCTCACCAGCACTTGTTTGTTGATTTGTTTATATGACCATTCTGACAGGTGTGAGGTGATAGCTCATTGTGGTTTTAATTTGCATCTCTCTCATGGTTAGTGATGCTGAGCATCATTTCATATGTCTATGGGTCATCTGTATGTTCTCCTTGGAGAAGTGTCTGTTCAGGTCCTTTGCCCATTGTTTAATTGGGTTGTTTGTCTTCTTGGTGTTGGGTCATGTGAGCATTTTAGAGATCAAACACTTGTCCAATGTATCATTGGCAAATATGTTTTCCCATATAGTCAGTTCCCTTTTCATTTTGATGACGGTTTCTTTAGCTGTACAGAAACTTTTAAAAAGTTTTTAAAATAAGCAAATGTTGTTCCATTTATTTATTTTTTTCTTTATTTCCTTTGCCCCAGGGGATATATCAGCAAAAATATTGTTATGTGAAATGTGTGAAATTTTCCTGCCTATGTTTTCTTCTGGGACTTTTATGGTATCACAACTTATATTTAAGTCCTTTATCCATTTTGAGTTTATTCTGGTGTATGGTGTAAGTTGGTGGTCTGGTATACATCAAGAATTTTAATCACAAGTTTTTGTAATTTTCATCACAAATCTTTGCCATATTTCCCCCAAGGATTTGCTTTTCCCTTTGAGTTTATTTAAGGCATTATTTTCCCCCTGACACACAGAAGGCTCTCCCAGGATCTGCTTAGGGTAGAGGCACAGGAAGGAAATGCTTGACAGACCGGATTGCCTAAAACCTCCAGGTTTCAGACTCCCCAGCACCATCCTCCTTTTTAAGATGTGCGCTTAGATACCTATGGCCTTCCGGAGGAGGCAGCTTTTACAGATCCTGCTGCTCCAGTCTTTAACGTTCAGATCTGGTCCTCTGGGCCTAGTAGCCACAGCAGCCCGTCAGAGAGTAGAGGCGATCCTCCCTGAGGCCTCGTTTTTTTCTGATGATTCTGGGGTTTGATGTTTCAGGAACAGGTTCCCAGGACTGGGCTGGAAGACTCAAGTAAGCTCCTTCATGGTTCTGACCAGAGGAGGCCAAGAACTATCAGGGAGCAGACTTGGTCATCTGACTCTGAATTTCTCCATCCAGCCTGTGAGCAGCCTCCCGCCATCCTCCCAGCCCAGTGAGAACTCCATGCTGTTGGCAGCGGAGCGGACCAGCGGCAGTTTCTCACATTTCCCAGGAAGGTCTCCGCTCCTGGCAGACAGGTGAGTCCTCCGCACAGCCAGCTCCAGCACCCCTGCCCGCAGTGCAGAGTGCGGGTGGGGTCGTGATACCTTCTGCCAACCTGTCTTGGGTTTTTTTTTTTTAAATTCCGCATAATTGTATATATAACTTTCCTCTCAATGTTATTGTCAGTCTGTCCTTGAAAAGTCTGTGGCTGATAGAACTGAATATTCTAGGCAAACCCCAGTGTTTTCTCATTTATTTAAAAAATTTTAATAGTTTATTTTTTAGTGTATCTTGCCATTGCCATTTATCCCCCTTACACCCTTGTCCACCTCCACCCACCACCCTCCCTGCCTCCCCTCCCTGTAATTGCCACGCTGCGCCCAGTGTTTGTGTATGGAAGGGGCTTGGCAGAAGGGATGGGGTGAAGCTAATACAGCAGGCTTGTGGAGTTAGATGCTGACTACCTCCATTCCCAACTCACAAGGGGCCCGTGAGTAAGACAATCCTGAGTTCTCTTTGCCTATCTTTGCCTGTCATCTATGTTTCCTGCAAAGTAGGAGAAACAGTATCCCAGAGGGGAGACGGCTGCTGGCTGCAGAGTCTTCCTGATTTACTCAGCAATCGGAGTAGAGTCTTTCTGTGATGAGTGATAGAAATCCAGAGCGAGACCATGCAGCCAGTATATTGAACAAGTTCAACTTTTGGGTATCATCTAAATGCAAATTTATTTTTGTCTTCCTTTATAATTTTTTCAGTGAGAGAAATTCTCCTCTTGCCTCTGAATAAGAGCTTGTTCCCTGGACAGGGCCCATAGCCTATGGACTCCCTCTTAGAATATAAAAGGTCCTCGGGCCCACTTAAACAACAAGCACAGCACTGGTTCTGGAATTCAAATGCCCAGTGCCTAAAGATTATCAAAACTCTGAACGGATCACATCTCCCTTCCCTCAGCCCAGTCCCCTGACTGACTGCAGCTCTGCTGATTCTGTGAGGACTTCCTTTCACTTGGCCAGCAGCCCTCTCAGACCCTGGCTCTGCAGGGGCTTGTGGTACTCAGGCACTAGCTGTCCGAGTCCCCTCATTCCTTAAGGGACCCCTCTTGGGTAGGGTTCACAATGGCTCCACACTGGTTTTCTGTCTCTCTCTCTCTCTGGAGCTGTCTGTGTCTGGTCCTCAGGTAATATCCTCCCAGAATTTGGCCACTAGAGAGGAGCACCATGCCTCTAGGATGCAGAAGCAACTTCACGTCACCACTAAAGAAACCAATTCTCCCATGTTTCCTGACCTCCATGTTTCCTGGACAGGAATTTTACCCCCACCTACTGGGTCTCCCAGCTCCCAGGAACCAGAGCTGAAGCTCTCTGGGTGGTCCCAGGAAGCCCCTCTCTTTCAGCTTGGGGAGATAGAGGCAGCAGCTCATACAAAGGACTCTCCACACATCCTCCCTCTCAGTGCTTTCAGCCCCAGGGTCCAGTGGTGGCCCTGCCGACCCAGTTCTCCCAGGGCGCGGGCTGCCTGTATGTGTACTCACCAGATCTTTTTCTTTTTTCTAACTTCAAGATAGTTTCTTAAATTGTAATGTAAAATTTTCTTCTTTGAGTACTCATTATTTGTATGTGGGATCATCTTTCTGTTTTAAGATTTTATTATTTATTTATTTATTTATTTATTTATTTATTTTAAGAGAGGGGAAGGGAGAAAGAAAGAGAGGGAGAAAAACATCAGTGTGTGGTTGCCTCCTGCATGCCCACAACTGGGGATCTGGCCCACAACCCAGGCATGTGCCCTGAATGGGAATTGAACCGGCATCCCCGTGGTTCACAGGTTGGCACCCAATCCACTGACCCACGCCAGCCAGGTCTCAATGTTGGATCATCTTTGTCTAATAAGTATGCCACTTTCATTTTTTAAAGATTTTTAGAGAGAGAAAGGGGGAGAGATAGACATCAATTTGTTGTTCCATTTATTTATGCATTCATTGGGTGAATCTTACAGGTGCCCTGATCAGGATTGAACCTGCAACCTTGGTGTATTGGGACGACATTCTAACCAACTGAGCTACCTGGCCAGGGTCTTTTTTATTCTTTAAACTTTCCTTCTTTTATCCTTCTATTTCTCATAAGGCATTGTGTGGTTTGCTTGTTTGCTCTCGTGTTCTTTCCGGTTAGGCTTTGTTTTGGAAATAATGATTGTTTGTTTTCAAAATATCTGTTTTCTCAGTTTTATCACTGCATGTATAAATATTTAAAATTGTGACTTATTTTGTTCTCTCATGTATTCTATCATTTTCTTAATTTCTTTTAGTTTATGTTGAAATGCTTTCTGCATTTTGCATTTGCTTTACAGCACTTTTTAGCGTGCAATAAAATGCTTTGTATCTTTTCTTGTATAATTTTGTGCGGGTTTCTGTTATGAACCTTTTCTGATGCAGTTTATTTTTATGTGAAATGTTTTTTCTCAACCTTTGGGAATGACAGATGGGTCAGTGTAGCTTCCTGGCTTTGGCTCTGGTGCTCTCTCCTGTTGTTTTGGTGAAGTGTTAATGACCTTCCGAGACTGGGCTCCTCTCTCTTATCTGTAGCTGACCTTGCTCTTTCCTTTGCCTCTGCTGTTCCGGTCCTACTCAGTGCGGATTCCGTTTTCAGTGGTCTTTCCCTACTGTGAGGCTGTGTCCTGCAAGGAAGTGGATTCTGATGGTTTCGAGAGTTCACAAGGCACATCCTGCTCCAGCCCCTTCAGATTTGACCACAGAAGGACCCTTTACACACACTTCCAGTTTCCTTCCTCTCGGACTGGCCCGCTGCCCTTTTCCCCGAGAATCTGGGGGAGATGCAGGAACATCGGATGCCCCGTTGCCTCTCTCTGGTTCCTCTCACACAGATACCGATGCCATAGGGGTCTTGCAGATGTCTGTAGTTGTCATTTTTTTTAAAGATGTTTTTCTTTTTTAAATTTATTTTAAATCCCCACTTGAGGATATTTTAATTGATTTTAGAGAGAGAAGAAATGGGAGAGAGAGAGAGAAACATCACTATGAAAGAGGAACATCAACTGGCCACCTCTGGAACACACCCCGATGGGGGATCAAACCCGCAGCCTCGGTACGCGCCCTGACCAGGGATCAAACTCACGACCCTTCGGTGCACAGGACGATGTTGCAGCCAACTGAGCCACCCAGCCAGGGCTGTAGCTGTCATTTTTTACCGCAAGCATATTTTCTCAACTAGGCCTTTATCTGTGGGACTCATGTGGGTCTACACTGGGGGTGAGGGGAGACCCTAAGGAGCCACTGTGATTTTGCTTCTGTCAAGCACCTCAAAGATATTACCAACTCAGGAGAATTTTTTTTTTAATAATTAAGCTTTATTTTGTCATGTGGATTTAGTTTGCTGATGGTATTAAATGGCTTTTTTTATAGACAGTGATAACTTTTCAATCAAGGTTCCTCCTGTTTATTCTGTTGGTAATCTCATTTTATTTTTTTATTTTTTTATTTATTTTTAGAGAGGGAAGGGAGGGAGAAAGAGAGAGAGAGAGAAACATCAATGTGCAGTTGCTGGGGGCCGTGGCCTACAACCCAGGCATGTGCCCTGACTGGGAATCGAACCTGCAACACTTTGATTCGCAGCCCACACTCAATCCACTGAGATATGCCAGCCAGGGCATTAAATTTTTTGTATTACCTTCTCAGTTCGTGAGTTCTTGGGCCACGTGTCAAAGCGCACACCACACGAGGACAGGCCCATTGACCAGAATTTTCAGAAGAGGCTTCCTTTTTGACGCAGAATCCTGGTGGATACAGATACGTTTGTGGCACTGGCTGGGTTTCTTTCTGGTGTACCCTTTTGCCAAGAATGTGCTTTGCAAGTCCTGGATTCATACAAGCACCTCGGTAAACTCCCCACCCGGCAAGAGCTCAGGATTTTACGTCCCGAGTCACGAAGCCCTGGTGGGCAAGACTGGCAAGCCCCACGGGCTGCCCCAGCTTCGGTTCTCATGTCACTGGCTTCAGTTTTGGCTTCTAATTTTTCTTTCCTTTTTGTGAGTTCAACAATGCATTTAAAATTACGTTAACTATATTTTATCTAAATTTCTAAGTGTTTTGTGGCAGAGAGTGGTTCTTTTAGATTATTCAACCACATTGCCAGTCTCTAACTAAGTGAGTCAAAAATTTATACTTAAAAAAACTCATTGCAAAAAGTAAAAAGAAAAAACAAACAAACAAAACCTCATTGCATTAATTTTCAAATACAGTGAGAGGGATTTTTGTTTTCACTTTGGTGCTTTTAAAATAGTTTTTAATTTTATATTTAAAAGAAGTATGTATTTTCCTTGCAATCAAAAATTTTAAAAAATTTAGCCATTCTGTGTGTTTTCTAGACACACTATGTGTTGCGTTTTTAAGTTGTTATTGTTTTGGAGAACTCTGAAGGTTTTCTTTGTGCCCATGCTGACTCCAGGCAGGTTATAGTGGGCATCAGGCAGATCCCAGTGTGTTCAGATTTTGCCTTTGAGTCGTAACACATTAGGTTCTGAACACATAAAAGCAGCGGTTAGGGTTTGGAGGGGTGTCTGTTCCACTTCAGCAGAGCAGGCCTTAGCTCCAGCCTCCCTCCTGCTTGGCTTTCTCCACTCAGTGTGTAACAAATCCCCTAGTTTCTATTGCCCTGGGTTCTAATGCCCACTGCCGAGAACAACTGTGACTCCCAATGCCAGAGTCTTATGAGAAGGAAAGGAACTATTTATTCAAAAGTTATACAGGTTTAGAACAATGGCGGAATTCTGTTGATAAATCGCAAGCCCTTTAGAAACAAAGAAATACCCACAAACACACAGTCTTGCCTCCCCTTGCCAAAACAGGCCAGTCAGGGGTACTGTCTCTCAGGAAAAGTAACAGAAGTCTGTAGCTTAGCTGGGCAGATTCCCATCTGTGTCCTGGCTTCCTCCAAGCGTCTGTGCTCAGCTCACTAGATTCCTGCTTTCAATCCAAAACTGCATCTCCATGGTGGGCCGGGGAATTCTTTTGCATGCTTTCAAATCGCATGGCCAAGACCTTGCATTGCTGCTACATAGTTAAGGGGCTTCTCCTTCCCAGCCGTATGGTCAAGAGAGCAAGTGAGACAGAGCTTCTAGTGGCTCTCCTACTCTCCTTCCCACATGGTCCAGAGCTCTAGCATGGCTGAGAGAGAGCTTGGCAGAGAGAGAGAGAGACCTCCCTCTCTGTGCTCCAACAGCATGGTTAAGCCCCAGCATAGCTGCTGGCTCCTGGGTTTAAATTCCAGTGCTGACCTTCCTTTGTAACCCCATTCCCAACTCCACCCACACTGGGTTACATCTGCCAGCACTCTGGCTTCTTCTGCTTTCTCAGCTGCCATTGTTAGTCCGGGCAAGTGTGGCCCCTTGACGTAGGAGTCATCTCCAAGCTGCTCACACAGCTCATGCAGGTGCAGGAAGCCCCTCCAGCTACATTGCATCACACATCACAGGTTAGAGTCGCGCCCATCTTTCTGGCACTAAGCAGGCACAGCTTTTAACATTACTAAAACACTGGCCAAGCTCTTCAGATATGCAAAGTACCCCTCAATGACTCCCCCTCCACTTCCCCCTGTCCCTCAAGTGATAGCTATGGGGGTTTTCTCCATTCTGGGGGACCTCTAGCTCAGCATCCCATTACAAATTCATTCTTAGATACATCATACCATATAGATGTATTGTCACTGCCAATCATTTCCACACTCACATCTGCATTCAAGGCACTCATGCTGGAAAAGACATAATTAAAAAACAGTTTTAAATTAAAATTTTAACATGCTTTCTTCTATTGTTTTCAGTGACCTCCAAATTCCCGGGTTCCAACAGAAACACAGACGCTGAGACTGAGATCAGTGATTCCAACAGCTACCACACACCCTTGCCTGTAACGTCTCTAGTCAGTTTGAATATGCCCACCAGAGCCGCCTTGAACCACAGCCTCAGGAAGCAAGAGAAGCAGATGACTACTTCCCTCCCGCTCCTGTAGCCAATCTCCTGGGAGAGAACTTACGGGGATGCTGACACCTCGCCACAAGGGGCGCTCTTCTAGGCTTTCGTCAGTGCACTGGCTACACCTCCCATAATGCCGTTTTCCCACTGTGGGCCAAATGACCACAGAAGTAAGATGGTGTTTAAAACAAGGTGCTTCTGTTCCTCCATCAATAAACCTCCAAGTGAGTCCCTCATTGTTGTAGGGTGTGCTGTGGGGATGAGGGGGACAGGCACAGCTCCAGGGCAGGGAAGGACTGATAAGGAACAGGAGCTCACTCCTTGGGGAAATAAGTGGGAAAAACTTCCTTCTGCTCAATTAAAATCCCCAAGCAGCCAAGCAAAGCCAAGAAAGTCAGTCCAGAGGGGAAAGGGCCTGGGGAGAAATCCAGCTTCCCCTCTCACAGGGAGAGGGAACGACAGGCAGGGCGCTCCAAGTCCAGCGTGAAAACAATCCTACCAGTGATGGCGCCAACTGGGAAACACCTTTGGGTTGCCTCACCCGCAAGCAAGGAATTGAGTTTTTACCGCCCCACCGTAAAGTTATGAAGGTTTGTCCCGGGCCATGCAGAGTTTGGTTGCTAATGAAGACATGGCTTCTGGAAAGGAAGATGGTGACCACCCACCACTGAGAGTCTTCATTCATATGACTCTTTTCACCCAGGACCTAATGAAAGCAAACTGGAAGACGCCATGTCTGTGCATGTTAGGGATAGGACAGGGGCTTTGGCCAACCTCTGGACGAGTGGGGAATATTTACCTGGAAAATACTACCTTAACATTGAGGAACTCTGCTGAGTTCCTGCTTGGTGCCAGACACTGTGCTCGATGCTGGGGTGTTAGAGAGAACGAGACAGAGGGACAAGTTTCCTGCCTTCAGGAGGGGTTGAGAGAGATAACAAGCTCTATTTTGCAGACACAGAAGGCCATTAAGGTTGACATGATGTTTGAGCCACTCGGTCTGCAAGTCAAGGCTGGTGGACTTGCTTTCCTGTGGTTCACGCTACAGGAAAGAGCGATGGAGGGAGAAGGAACACAGCTGCCCTCCCCTTGGGCATCGCCAGTTGGGCTGAGTGGTAACTCCTGGTGAGATTGGGCCAGAAAAAAACAGCTGAGGTGAGAGGATGCCTGGTATTTGCAGGTTTCTCCCTGCCTCTAATAAAAATAAAAACAAAACCAATTTCCTTCTGGCATGTTACAATCAAGTAAGCTGAGCATAGTTGGAGCTGGTAAGAGACATTTAGAAACTGAAGTTAGAAGAGGTGAATGGTTTCCAGGTGGGTTTGGCCAGTGAGAAATACAGATGGGAGGTCAGAGGGAGAGAGGAAAATGGGATCCAGACAATTATTCCCTCTCCTGTAGTTGCAAAAGGCTGGCTGTGTCCCTAAACACAAGGAAACTGCTCCTCTCAAGGTGGCTTCTTCTAGTCAACTCTCTTTCTCCTGGTTCCACTAACCATCCCCTCCTGTTACCCTTCATGTCCATTCATCGTATGGACTTAGCTAACTGGCTGCTCCTTCCTAATTTTTAAAAAATATTTTATTTTTTCCTGGCTGGTATAGCTCAGTGGATTGAGCACGGGCTGAGAACCAAAGTGTCGCAGGTTCGATTCCCAGTCAGGGTACATGCCTGGGTTGCAGGCCATGACCCCCAGCAACTGCACATTGATGTTTCTCTCTCTCTCTCTCTTTCTCCCTCCCTTTGGCAGGGAGAAAAAGAGGGAGAGGAGAAGAAAAAAAGGGAAGGAGAAAAAGAGGGAGAGAAACATCAATGTGTGGTTGCCTCTCATGTGCCCCCCAACTGGGGACCCAGCCTGCAACCCAGGCATGTGTCCTGACTGGGAATCGAACTGGTGACCCTTCGGTTCTCAGGTCGGCGCTCAATTGACTGAGCCACAGCAGCCAGGGCTCCTTCCTGAATTTTGAGCAGAGATGTCACTCATCCCCGGGAAGAAGTGACAGTGGGGGCAAAGCATCCTGACCAGGTGGCTCTGGCTGTGTGCCAGTTGCTGGGTTTCCATCCAGGTTATTCTCTTTTGGCTCCTGCCTATCCCCCAGGCCTGGTTTCCTTAATCTTCAATTGTTATCAAGACCTCCCACTAGTCTTCCAGTGAGTTCTCTTTGGCTTAGTCTGGCCTATCACTTCCTGTGTTTACAACCATGAAGTCTAATTGATGTGGAGCTGTTCCCAGAAAAGTGGATGCCGTGTCAGCAAACGCGGCAACGATCGGTGTCTTAGTTGTGTGTGTATCCTCCAGCGCCTGGATCCTACTAGACACCCAGTCAAAGGCCACGTCTGCTGTAGCTGGCTCCGGTTGCCCCTGCATTGTTCCTCCCCCCAAACAAGGGAAGAAACCACAACTTTTGGCTGAATGGACTTATCGCTGAAATTAATTTCCCAGAGACTCTTAGATGAAAATTCCACCACATAAGGGATTGATAAACCTTTTAATGGCTAACAAATACATCACTTAAAAGAGAAAAGGAACAAAACATTGTTATCCAGAGTCAGTTAGAGCCCACCAGGACATGGCATTTGCAAAAACAATCCCCCCAAACAATGTAGGAATGCACTTTGAAGTTTCTGAAATGGAATTCAGAGAAAATGTCCTCAAGGAATAATACCAAGATGGACCCACTTAAAAATGTGTGATGGAGCTAGATAAACTTCACGAATGTCCTTAAGTCCTAAAAATTAATAATAAACAGCTGGCCAGTTAAGACTAATAATGGTGATGGGACAGCAGGTAGAGGAAGCAGAGCAGCTGGGGACACTGAGTACGCAGAAACGAGGATCTTGACCTGCATCCTGTGGGCGCCAAGGGATCCACTAATGACCTCTCAGAACCACAGGTTATTTATTGATTTATTTTTTTAGTGTGTTTATTTTTTTTAAGATTTTATTTTATTTATTTTTAGAGAGGGAAGGGAGGGAGAAAGAGAGAGAGAGAAAAACATCAATGTGCAGTTGCTGGGGGTCATGGCCTGCAACCCAGGCATGTGCCCTGACTGGGAATCGAACCTGCAACACTTTGGTTCACAGCACGCGTTTAATCCACTGAGCTACGCCAGCCAGGACTCACAGGTTATTTATTGATTTAGAAAACAAAACATAAGGGGTCTTACCTGCAGCAAGGATTCCCCTCACTCCTGATACTTCCTCTTGTCACTTCCCGTCTGCTGGCCCCCACGCTGCTGCTCTGCTCTACACTCCCACCTGCCTGGGCTACGGTGGGAGTACAGCCCAGCCTCTCTCCCTCACCACCAAGTCCCATCACATCCGTGTCTATTGTGACTATACAGTCTTCCTTACCGGGCCTCAAAAAGAAATTCCACAACAGGTCAATCTTGAGAAAGCCATGAAATTGGTTTCAAAAGAGGGAAACAACCACAGAGAGTGATAAAGCTTCCTAAAAGGAGCATTTACAATGAGAACTTGGAAGCATTAAGGCTAAGGCCACTTATAGGAGCTATAACTTAAAACAGCCAGACATATAACAAGCTTGGGATATTCTGAGAAGGGGCAGTTTTGGGTTTCGCTCTGATTCCTGCCTGACCTATAAGGTAAATCAATTAATTTCCCCATTGGAGATATGGATTTTTTTTTAATTAGTTATTTTTAGAGAGAGGGGAAAGGAGGGAGAAAGAGAGGGAGGGAAACATCAATGTGTGGTTGCCTCTCATGCGCCCCCCACTGGGGACCCAGCCTGCAACCCAGATATGTGCCCTGACCAGGAATTATACCAGGGACCCTTTGGTTCACAGGTTGGCATTCAATCCACTGAGCCACCAGCCAGGACAAACTCACTAAAATTTTAATTATCCCCAAACAAAACAACGTTTTTGAATGTTGATAGTTGTGGTAGTGACCGGAAGTACACCAGAGGTCCAAGACAGACGAAGAAGTACTCATAGTTTGTTCTGAAGCTCCCTATTGGTTTTAAAGCCCCCTAAAATCTCTGGTTAAGCACATCGGCTTGCACAAAGATGGAAAGGAATTTCTGTCACATCCGTCCCTCCCCTCACAGCCATTGAAGGGTCATATCTAGATGCAAGAAGAATGTGGCCACTAGTGGCATGGGATTGTCACACACTCATCCTCAGGACATGCCATTGGTAAATGCTTTGCTTTTTTGATAGTGTTTTTACATATACACTCTAATGTGATTCTCATCATCATCTGAGAGGGCTGTTATTATGAGCTATACTTCCGTGGACCCTGAGAAAGAAGATACCTACTAAAAAAGGGCTCTCAGTGGCTCCCTGGGCTCAAATAAAAACAAACAAAGCAGAGCCTGGCATCCGTTTCTGCACAAGGGCCTCTTATGCAAACTGCACTTCAAGGAGAAGCCTGCCTCGAACTGCCTGCCTGCTCTGTGTTTCTGTCACCCGTGCCTGATGTTATTATAAAGGAGATTGTGCCATTGTTACGGGGGGGGGGGGGATCTGGCCAGATTGCTGAGCAGAGAAGAGGGAACCCCGAGGCAGTTCTGGAAGTGCCAGAGGTGGTGGGATTGAAAGTGCAGCTGGTCCTTGACAGATTCCCATCCCCCTGGGTGAGGGTGCACAAACCAGCTCTGCTTGAGAAGCAGCGGGAGAAAGCCTACACAGAGTATTCACAGGCTGAAAAGGCCAAAACACACGTGTACTGTGCAGGTTTACATGACAGCAGGAGGAGGGGCAGAGATGCTGTGCAGGCTGACAAGCCTGATGGATGCTGGCCTGGATTGGCTGGGAATGTGGGCACTTCTACTGCGTGCAGGATTTTGGGCCTGGACTTTTAAACAGAGTTTGCATGGAGACTCACCCTTCTGTTTTCCTTCCTCAGTCAGGGGGCCAGAGTTCTCATGGGACCTGGTGGGTGCTGGGCTATGCTCACCCTTTTTTACTTTGTGCCCCTCATTCACCTGGTCAAGAGCCAGCTTACACCAAGGGCAAGTCCACACTGGGCCACACCCTGCCAGCAGCTACCTGAGGGACACTGCAGCACCATGCCACC